TATTATGATCTTTAAAAAAAACTTTTTGTTTTAAAATTAATAATGAACTTTGTTCGCAGATCGCTTGCAAATTAGTGCACAGGGGACGTACAGAATTTTAACAACCCTGTTTATTATCAATTGAAACAGCTGAGTTGTGACATCATAGTTTATTGTAAAATTTGCAGATGTAGATGAAAGTATTCTCGCCCACAAAATAGTATTGTAAACAAAAATCATATTTAAAACAATAAATTGAAACTAAAAAAGGAGTAAAGATGGATTTAAAACAATTAGAGGCGGAGGCACGGCAAGGAGCTTTTAAAGATATAAAAAATATGTTGCAACGTTCAGGACAGTTGGAAAAAGTGGATCAATATTGTAATCGAGTTGCGCGTAAAAAGGCTTCATTGGATGCGCTCCTGAAAACTGGTATGCAAAATCAATTAGATGGTGTACGTGTTGGTCTTAAACAGTTGGAAGCATGTTTACAAGATACACGTGAAGTTAGAAATCGAATGGAAGAGGTTGATAAATTATTGCAGCTCGTGCCGGATATATACGATGCGTTAGAAGTGGTGCGAGAAGAGAACACGAAACATTCACAATATGCAACTGCAATGGAAAATCTAAAGCACATATTTAATGTAGAAAGTAGTGTGCAAAAAACTATGACTCTGATAGAAGAAGACAAATTGTTAAATGCACATCAATGTTTGGCTGACTTAGAAAATTCCAGAGATGATTTGCTCTATGAATTGCATAAACAACCAAAACAACATGCATCCGATAAGATAACTTTAAAACGTCATTTTGAAAAAGTTGAGACGGTATCGCAAGCGCTTGAGAAGAAATTGCGTCTGATATTAAGCCGTACTTTAAATACCGTTCGGAAAGAACCAACAATTATTGTGACTGCTCTTCGAATAATCGAAAGAGAAGAGAAAAATGACCAATTTGCGTTACAACAACAAAAAGTAACAGGGTTTCTACCACCGGGAAGACCGAAAAATTGGCGTGCTCTTGCTATGAATGTCCTACAAGAGGCTGTCGTAACTCGTATTGAAGGCTCGAAACTGGAGGAACGTACAGATAATAAAATGTGGTTAGTGCGTGATTTGGAAATTTTGCGACAAATTATATTGGAAGATTTACGCGTTGTTAAATCGTTATGCGTACCATGTTTTCCACCACATTATAATATTTTTAATGAATATGTCAAAATGTATCATGAGGGACTCTCGGCTTATGTAAGGTTTTTTTTTGTGTGAAAGCGTTGTTATTATACTAAAATATTTATATTTCAGCTTGATAGCATTGCCAAATCAGGATTAGAAGGAAATGAATATGTTTCTATGCTTTCATGGGTAATGAATACTTATCCTGGTCCTGAACTAATGAGACATGCTGATTTGGACGTTGACGTGCAAAGGGTTATTGGACCTTTGTTACGTCCAGAGCATTTGAAATCTTTAGAAGGTGAATATTTACGAAATATGCAGCGAAATTATCAAGATTGGATGACGAAAACAGCAGATACTGAAAAACAAGAATGGTTTTCTGAACAACCTCCTGATCAGGACGAACATTATTATCATACTTCAGCGCCAGTCATAATCTTTCAAATGATAGATCAACATTTGCAAGTGACTAATACCATACATGCAGAGCTCACTTTCAAAGCTCTTGTTATGAGCATACAACAAGTGGAAGTATTTGGGCAAAGTTATTTAAAAAATGTGATCGAGCTCAAGGAACATCATTTCCGCAATCGAGATCAAATAAAATACTTTACACATTATATCATTACAATTGTGAATAACAGTCAACAAATGGTAGAACTAGCACAGCAAATGAAACAACTCTACTGGCCCAAATCACGTACTGAACATTATGAAGACTTTGAAAAATTACTCGCTATATTCCAACGTATACGCGCTCATGCTGCTAACTATCTTTTGGAAGAGGCTTTTCTTGATATGGAGGGTCATTTCAATGATCTTTTTACTGTAAAATGGCTTACTAGCAGTATATCAGTGGACACTATATGCGTAACACTCGATGACTATTTTCAAGTAAGATTAAATGAATAATTATTTATAAATTTTTTTTTTATTAAAAATCATTTTTTTTTAGGATTACAATCATTTACGCCCAACAAATTTTGAAATGGTGATAAATGAGGCACAAAAAAATTTAGCAAAACGTTACATAAAAGCCTTGCTCTCCAAACGAGTGTCCAAACCTAGGCCAGAGTGTGATCCAATTACACGTAAAATAAATCAAGAAGCTAAAAGATTTAAACAATTTTTTGAAAAAATCGCTCCTAATATATCTATGGCAGATTCTCCATTAGATCTAATACAAACGCTATCGACATTACTGGTCTGCGATATTGAATTGTTAGTTTTAGATTTACACACAATCTTGGGTAACTATCCATCGCTGAGTGAAGATCAAATAGTACGTTTGTTCTACATAAGAAACGATGTAAAAGCCGCTGAAGTTCGTGGAAAAGTTCAAGATGCAATGAAATCTAAGAAAGCGATGGTAAGCATTGCCAAACAGGACTGCATATTTAAAGAAATAGTTTTCAGCGATAAATTATGGTAATAAGTAAATGTTTAATATATATAAATGTAAAATTTGTATTTCAAAGATTATTTGGAATTATTTTTATATTATTATAAATATCTGTGTAAATTATTGCAAAAATATTACATAAATGGTATTATATTATTGTAGTAGTTATGCAGTTTGCGATTTTAAAATATACTAAACTTAATTAATATATATTATTTTTTCTTTATTTATCAATTGCTTATGAAATTTCTTACGAATACATTTAAAACTATTAATTTCAATATTCACAAATATTAAAAGTTATTTATATTAGTATTATAAATACAAAAATATAATTAAAAAATATGATACAATAATAAAATAAAATAAATAAAAAATATATACTAAGTAAAACCAACAACTTTTGAAGTTTTAGTTATTATTATTACTTTATTTAATAATTGCCTAATGGGAATATGTTTAATGTCATTTTCAATATTTACAAATACTAAAATTTATTAGTTTAATTATGATAAAAATATTACACATAATTAATGTTCGGACAATCAGACACTTAACTATAAAAAAGACACAGAGTATCTTGCAGAAATCTACTAATAAATTAAAAATCAAATTTTTTTCCTTTTCATTTTTCATTAGTTTTTTGTTTTTGAATTTGTGTTTGTTTTTGACTTAATAAATTTAAATGTTTATTCAAAATATAAAACATTTTAAGAGACAACATTGTTTGTCATTTTTGGTTGTTTTTTTTCTGATATATGTTTATATTTTTTTAATTACATGTATTTAAATAATTTTTTTTTTACTTATTGTATATTAAAAATGGTCTAGATGATATTTCGAATTAGACCGAAATATCTGTATTACACCGAAATATGGCACTGCAACCGTCGGGTTTATTGTGCGCCCTTCTGGGTTTAAAGTAGGTCTCTAAGCCATGTTGCGTCAACACCCTATTCTATATGTGCATTAGCGCAGAGCATTCTAACAGCAAATGTTTGGCCGACTCCTCATTCTCTTCACAGAATCTACAATTTGCATCCGTATGTATACACAGTCTTGTAAGGTGGTATTTGCCCTGTTAGGATTCCTGTGATGATTCTAAGTTTTTCTTTTGAAAGGTGCATACAATTTTGATATTTCTTTTTTTTATAGGTACCAATAAGTGATTTGAATTGTGTTAATCTTGCTATA